TTCTTTTTTTGATAAACAGAGAACAAGAATAATGTGATTCTCGTCGTATGTCTTTCAACGATATTTTCTTTATAAAAGTAATCTGTTTAGCAAGCGAAAAAAGGTACTTACCGCCAGAAATGGTGTTTGTCCGATATTGTTGCCTGCATTGACCGACAACGGTAGTTCTCCCAATAATACTTTCACAATGTCCGGATTATTTCGTTTAGCACCAGCTAACAGAAGTGAACCAGTTAGCTCCTTACTTTTCCATGGATTATCCGTTGTAATTTGTGAACGCTTGAAAGCGATATTTTTATTTATACTCTGACTGAATAAAACTTTCAGATAATTTACATTACCAAGTTCAAAGCATTATATAACTCCTCGATCATATGATCCATATGCCTATTCTCAAATGATGCAAGTTGGTTGTACTCAAGATCTGAGCTTGTCCGATTACCATCAGCACTACTACAACGAAGATGTTGCATGGCACCAGATGATATTTCACTTTCGCCACAGCAATGCTCATCTGACGACGAAATTGCTCCGCGTGACTGTAGATTTTCCACAACTAAAGTTGAGAATCGAGAGTAAAGATCTAACGGAGTATGTCCTTGGCCTGTTAAAGCATTTGTTTGGCATACCGACATTTGGGCGATGAAGATTAAAGAAACAGTGGTTACAGTTGAATATAAGGAATATAGAAAAGCTCTCACAGCATAAAAAGTTTGTTCAAAGGCAATTTTATCGTTTTACAGCATACTTTAACAAATGCACTACTTCTGTTTGCTTTTGTCGTAGATGCGGCCAAATGTCGTTGCGTCCGAATGTCGCTGCGCTCAAATGTCGCGCGCGCCCAAACGTCGGCGCCCAAATGTCTGGTAATCCATTTATTTCTACATCATTCGTTGCTAATCAGATTACTTTTATAAAGAAAATATCGTTGAAAGACATACGACGAGAATCACATTATTCTTGTTCTCTGTTTATCAAAAAAAGAACGAAAAACACACATCATTTTAATAAAATTTCTAAAATATAGAAAGAAAGCGTCTTTTTTCCTGTTATGACAGATAAATGTGTGACACGATTCTTCCACGAACTGACTACTATCTCCTTCATAAACTTCTGCTTAATAACTCGATGAAAGCGCCATTGAAGAGCACGAGACATGAGAGGGTATCACTCGATTATACTTCTCGAACGAGACGATATTGATTTAACTTGAGAAGTTTATAACGGAGACTATACCTGATTCGCGAAAATATCCATGTAACGATGAACGATACTCAGAAAAAAAACTGAAAAACAAAAACTTTTCTTCGCTACTTTAGACAGATAAAAGCGTTCATTAACCAGGGGCTGAGAGATTGATGTACCAACTTGTAAAGATCTTCTGTTCTATAACAGAAGTTTTACCGAAGAGATATTTAATTTCAACAGTAGATCCTTATCTTCATTGTTTGAAAGTTTAACATTTACTCCGCTTCGAAGCAGAATAATAACAATTTCAGTAGTTGAACATTCACGTGCGTATATCAAGTATGATCAACATAGTCAATAGCGATATTGTTCGATAGGACAATCAACAAATATTCAACATCTTCAAACTGACGCAGTCATATTATTTTATGTATTACTGTTTCATTCTCTGCCCCAATCGCGCATGCGTAAATTCCTCGACCATGTCGTTTACCACTTTTCACTCCGCGTCATACTTGTCGCCATTCGCAAATTTTTCAATTCCCCGAAAACGTTTCTTCCCAACGTCCAAGGTACCACTGACCATCACACTTGTCCCCGTTCGCAAATGTGTAAATTCCTTCACCGTGTTTCACACCGTACTGCCACTCGCCCTCATACCTGTCCCCATTTCCAAATGTACATATTCCTCGACCGTGCTTCTTACCATCTTTCCATTCACCATAATACCCGTCGCCATTCGCACATGCCTCAATTCCCCGAGCATGCTGCATACCATCTTGCCATTCGCCGTCATACATGTCCCCATTCGCAAATGCGTAAAATCCTCGACCATGCTGCTTACCATCTTGCCACTCACCCACATACTTGTCCCCGTTCGCAAACGTTTCAGTTCCTCGAAACTGTTTCTTCCCACCGTACCACTGACCGTCATACTTGTCTCCGTTCGCAAATGTGTAAATTCCTCGACCATGCTGCTTACCATCTTGCCACTCACCCTCATACTTGTCCCCATTTACAAATGTGTAAATTCCTCGACCGTGCTGCTTACCATCTTGCAACTCACCGTTATACTTGTCCCGATTTGCAAATCTGTAACTTCCTCGACCATGCTTCTTATCATCTTTCCATTGACCATCATACCTGGCACCATTCGTAGATGTTTCAGTTCCTCGACCATGTATCTTCCCACCGTACCACTGACCGTCATACTTGTCCCCGTTCGCAAATGTGTAAATTCCTCGACCGTGCTGCTTACCATCTTGCCACTCACCCTCATATTTATCGCCATTCGAAAATGTTTCAGTCCCACGACAGTACTGCTTTCCATCTTTCCATTCGCCCTCATACAGGTCCCCATTTGCAAATATATAAATTCCTCGACCGTCCTGCTTACCATCTTGCCACTCACCGTCATATTTATCGCCATTCGAAAATGTTCCCGTCCCACGACAGTACTGCTTTCCATCTTTCCACTCGCCCTCATACAGGTCCCCATGTGCAAATGTATAAATTCCTCGACCCTGCTGCTTACCACCTTGCCACTCGCCGTCATACTTGTCCCCATTTCCAAATGTGTATATTCCTCGACCGTCCTGCATACCATCTTGCCACTCGCCGTCATACTTGTCCCCATTCGCAAATGTGTGAATTCCTGGACCGTGCTCCTTCCCATCTCGCCACTCGCCATCATACTTGGCCCCATTCGCAAATGTATAAACTCCTCGACCGTGCTGCTTACCGTTTTGCCACTCACCTTCATATTTGTCGCCATTGGAAAATATTTCAGTCCCACGACGGTACTGCGTCCCATCTTTCCATTCACCGTCATACTTGGTGCCAATCGCTAATGCTTCCATTCCTCGACCATGCTGCTTTCCATCTTGCCATTCGCCGTCATACAAGTCCCCATTGGCAAGTGCGTAAACTCCTCGACCATGCTGCTTTCCATCTTTCCATTCGCCAGCATACTTAGCGCCATTCGCAAATGTTTCAATTCCCCGAAAGTGTTTCTTCCCATCATACCACTGACCGTCATATTTGTCCCCGTTCGCAAATGTGTAAATTCCTCGACCGTGCTGCTTACCATTTTGCCACCCACCTTCATATTTGTCGCCATTGGAAAATATTTCAGTCCCACGACGGTACTGCTTCCCATCTTTCCATTCGCCATCATACTTAGCGCCATTGGTAGATGTTTCCATTCCTGGACCGTGTTTCTTCCCATCGTACCACTCACCGTCATACTTGTCCCCGTTTGCAAATGTGTGAATTCCTCGTCCGTGCTGTTTACCAGCTTTCCATTCGCCGTCATACTTCTCCTGGTTCGCAAATGTGTAAGTTCCTCGACCGTGCTTCGTATTATGTTTCCATTGGCCATCATACCTGTCGCCATTCGGAAATGCCTTAATTCCTCGACCATGCTGCTTACCATCTTGCCACTCACCGTCATACTTTTCCCCATTTGCAAATGTGTAAATTCCTCGACCGTACTGCTTACCATCTTGCCACTCGCCGTCATACTTGTCCCCATTTCCAAATTCCTTGACCGTGCTTCTTAGAATCCTTGTACTCCCCGTCATGCTGCAAAGTGTTTTGCATTCTTTTCACTTCAAAACTATCTGAGAATAAACATTTCATGCGACAGAACGAAGCGAAAAGTGTTATGGTTTTGAATGACAAAAGTTTCGTTTCTTAATAGTGAATTGCATTTCTTTCCATTGCCGCCTACTACAGCTGTACCTGTCAGTCAACCTTGCGGCTACTTTTGAATAGGATTATTTCATTGAACAGTGTTGTTTCATCAGCGCCACTCGGTGAACGACGGATTTCTTCTTTGTTAACAAGCAAATGCTTTCAGAATCAATGTAAGAAAGAAATGCATTTCACTATTAAGAAACGAAAATTTTGTCATTCAAAACCATGACACTTTTCGTTGGTTCTGTCACATGAAACGTCTATTTTCAGATAGTTTTGAAGTGAAAAGAATGCAAAACACTTTTCTTTCTCTCTCTCTGTATATGATTAAAATATACAGTCGTTGACTCTAGAAGTCAGTGATGTCTCACATGTCGCTTGCTCTTGCTTTGTTTTACATCAGCAGTCACCGTCACATGAATAACAAAAGATAATCTCACTAGTTTTTCTAATTGACGCCACCTTAACACAAACTCTTCCCATTCTACTTCAATGTTACACTAGTCTTCGTTCTTCTTTTATTCAACATATGAATGTTCGATACTGTAACATTGATCCAGAGAACAGGAAACTGCCACCAGCCTATGATTACCTCAGTTCACCACTAGTGTCATTGGAAATCTCACTTGAGAAAGTAATACCACTCATCGATAATCTTCAACACTATACTGAAATCGCTATACAGCACTGTCATTCGTCCGATCGTCTAACACAAGCGGAATCAGCTGCCTTGCATTTGTACACGATGGAGTGGGGTGATAGAAGCTTTTATCACATATTTAACAATGCATTACAAGATGCAAATCGTGCAGCATTAAAACCATGGTCTCCGTACTTAAAACCGCTTGACACTGCTCTTAAAAATCTGCCGTCTACGAAGCTAATATTACAGTGTGCTGTCCATGCTGAAGTGAGTAGAAGCTTTAAGCACGGACAACTACTGGCATGGTGGTCACTTAATCCCTGTTCTTCCTCGTTCAATGTCATCAAGGACTTTCTGGGCCCCGATAGTACATTGTTCATGATCGAAGCAGCAAACGGAAAAAGCATTTCATCTTACACTTGCCATGTCAACGAGAACGAATTTGTCTTGATGCCCGGAACCAGACTGAAGGTAGTGAGTAATGCGCTTCATTTCTCTGGTCGCCCACATAGCGTATATCTACGCGAAGTTGCAAGTAACCACGAATCAATGAGTGCTTCAGTATCGTCAATCAAGTTTAATCGGACCACAAATTCTGGTTTATCATCAATAGTCCCGAAGAAGAAAGTGCCTTTAGATGCATAAATGAGACCTATATGATATATTAAACCAATAATTTCATCGAAATTTTCCAGATATAAAGTTTAATGAAAATTTGGACTCATAGGTAGAAAACATTGGAGAATCTAATGAGAAAACTTCCGAAGGCTCTAGAACATTCCCAGAGGAGTTTTGGAAAACCTTTTTTAACAACATTTAAAAGAATTACAATATGATGAAAAAAACATAAATAATTTATCAATTGTATCAACAACTGGAGAATGTTATTATCAAATTGAACAATATGAACAGGCAATTGAATATTATAGAACGTCATTAGAAATAATGGAAGATAATAATTTAGAAAATAATCATGATATTGGACGTTTTAACAATTCTGTTGGATTACACTGTGATAAAATGAATCAAGATAATTTGGCATTACTCTAATTTAATAAATCATTAGAATTTTACGAAAAATATTGTAATATAAATAATAGAGAACACACTATTTAATTCTTTTTGTGGTTTTCACTCAGAAGTTGTTGAGCTATTGCTGCAACCCGGTTAACACCAAACCATCCGAGAAGCATACAACATGTGGCTTGCGCTTAGGGAGCACAACAGACGGAACTTCCTAAGACTAGTGCGAGTCCATGCAAACCAACGAAATTTGTTGCAATACGTCCAAAAATTAGTCTCTGTCGTTGAGTTGTTTTTTTGAAGCTGTCGAAAATGTTTTTATACTAATTCATGCACCCCGAATAACAAGCTTTTCACTACCCAGCTGGGCTTTATCCAGGCTGTATGGCAAGAATTCCATACTGATGTTTAGTTAGATGTTACTGTAACTTTCAAAATTCACCATTCTTCTTTCTTGTTTTTTCAGTTCGAAAATTTCATTTCTCTTATAATCTCACTTTAGTTGTCGTTTTTTTTCTTGTAAAGACTCGAGTTGCAAGCCAACCGCAACTATAACTCATGCAAATAAACAACAACATTTTCATCAAAAGACGATAATATCAGCGTGTTGCAACACCACGTCGATGCTGTTAAACCTTTTAAATGGCATTTTCTTTATCAGAAATGTATAGACTTCCTTTTGGGATGAGTGTGGAAAGACTAATTATTTGTATTCAAGAGGGTGTCAGAATATTAATATGCAGTGTATTCTCACAAATCCGCTATTTCCTCAGAGCTTGCTGGACTTGGTGTATTCTCCATCAGAATGCACTACTAATCCTATGTATCTATAAAATATGCTGGTTTTTTTGTATTCTGGACGAGAATACACTTTTATATAGACAGACATCGATAAACATACTGAGTTTGGTGTATTCTCGAACAGCATACACTACTATTCGAATGCATCTATAAAATATGCTAGAATTGCTAGGTACATGGTATTCTCGACTACAAGCATTAAAATGCTGTCTTGTAGCTCACTCTCGTCCTACACTGCACACTGAGTCAGATATGCAAAGGATAGATTTTGTTCTCAGTCTCATTTCATATGCAATTTTAAAGGCAGCAAAAAAATTAGAGTATTCATAACTAAGGCAAAATCGATGCAAACTTCGTCAGAATACGAAGTTGTACTCTATTTTTTCTGCACTATATCGCGGACTTTAATCGAACTGTTAAAAACAACTTAGAATACTTTGGTTTTTGAAAACGGTTTTCTAAAAACCAAGATAAAATAGGGTACATCATGATATCTTGACGACGTTTGCATCGATTTTGACTGACGCGAGAACCGCCCCGAATCAAACAATTAAAATCATCATTATATATTCAAGTAAATAAAGAATTAACAAATGCAATAATAATAACTTCAAATAATAAATATAATATATTAATAATAGATAAATGGATATCAATGAATTTTGTTAATATTTCTGGACAATTTAAATATAAAACTAAAAATATTTCATATAAATTAATAGTTAAATCAATTCCAAAAAGATTATCAAAAGAAGAACTTATTAATCATAAACAATTTAAAAATTGTGTTAAAACTATTGATATAATTGGTGAAAATGCTATTATTGAATTAAATGATAAAATAGTTTGGGAGGAATGTTTAAAAACGGGTTCACTTCGAATTCACTATATAATTCGACATATAACGTTAGAAATAACTCCATATACTAAAATAATTGATCCTGATAATAGTCCAATAACATTTGAAAATTGGTATGGAAATCGAATGTTAGATTATAAACCTGATATAATGCAATTTGATTTTAAAAAAGATCAAATATTTCGTTATAGATGGAATTCAAAAATATGGTTAGAACAATTTCATAATATTGATTCATATAGTGAGAATTTGAAGAATAATGATCAATATACTTCACTTTCTATTCGTCATATGTTACGTGTTACAGTTATGTTAAATACAATGGCTGCTGTAAAAAATGGAAAATATATATTAGAAGATGGTAAAACAATTATTCCATTTAAATTTGATACAAAACAAAGACAAAAAATTAAAACAATATTATATAATCATCAATCAAAATTAATTGATTCTAATCAAGAAATAACAATTCAAATTCCATTTAAATCTACGAATATTCATGTAAATAATGAAGATTGTTTAATATCTTATGCAAAATTAATTTCAAATGGATTAAAACCAGTTTTATTAAATATGGCTAATTCAATAATACCTGGTGGTGGTTATCGTAAAGGTGATGGTGCACAAGAAGAAAATATTTTTCGTCGTACAAATTATTATATTAGTTTAGATTATTCATTAGATCAAAATATACCATATATACAACATAAACGATCTAAATGTGATTCAAATGGTAAATTAGAAAGTATGTCAAATACAATGTATCCAATTGATGAATTTGGTGCAATTTATGCAATTTATGGAACTGGTCACCAGTCACTGTTCTTTCAAATCGACATAATTTTACATCTGTAAGTGGATGTTTGTTGCTCTATAATATCTTTTAACACTAAAAGGCGCTTCCCATAGTGTAGGAACAGTCACATTAAAGGCTGTAGAATAAAAACTTTCTATACGTGTATTATTTCTATGGAAAATGTGGCAGTATTGTCTATGGGAACTGAAGTAGATGAGTTTATTACAGTATAAAAAACGAGATAGATGAGCATTAACTTTTCTACATCTTGATTATGCAGAAAACAGTAATTGGTGACCAGTTACAGTTACTAGGAACGGTAACTGATCACCAGTTACAGTTACTAGGAAGGGTAACTGAAACTGTCCCACCTCTAGTTTGAATTAAACAGACACGTAACTGCCTCTTTTCAACATTTGCTCTGGCTGCTTTTTCACTCAAGAACAAATTCAATCTGTAGTTAATGGAGTTCTAAGCAAGAAATTAAATTTTTGCCACTTTAAAACGTGCATTTAAATGAAGAAATTATATTGCCAAAAAAACCTTGATGTACGAAACATGACAGAGAAGGTCAATTTCCATGCCATGAACGCCCAATACCGAATGAATACCCTTTTAAAAAGTTAGCAAAAGTACGTATTATGAGTGCGTGTGTTACATTTATCTCAGAGAAATATGTTAATAACAAGCCATTCTTAAACAATCTTGTCTGATTATGTTTTTGGTAGTGTGGCTACCAAAAGCATAATCAGAAACCACCATTCTTTGTATAGTTGAAAACCTTCAATGTTTTCAAGCCAAAAATAAATTTTCAGAGTTAGATTAAATGGGCATAAAATTGCTCAGAAAATAAACCCCAGAACGTTTTTCAGAAAACAAATGAGGCATTTTGTAGAAAATTCGATTCTCTGTCCGATGGTATAGTTTCCAGAATTTTTGGAAAAAATATCTAGGTGAGGAAATTTAATTTAAAATTTAAAACTTTTTAGATTTAATTTTTCGATATGAAAATTTAACTTTTAATTTGGTTTTAAGTGCAGATTTGTAATCAGCGCAAAAAAACTGCGTCGAATGATGTATTTTTAATCACCTCTTTTGGATTGCACCTTCGTACGAATCCCATTTAATCCTATTTAATCTGACTTTGAAAATTTATTTTTGGCTGCATGGGATGTAAGTCACCTCAAACGATGTATCTATGTGCAAACCAGAGCTTGCTAACGATCAGTGGCTAAGTCGCCAGTAGTTCTGGCTGACGCGAGAACCGCCCCGAGTTGCAAGTAGATAAGATAAGATAGTTAAGATTTTATTTTACTCAAGGGCAGGATATCACAAAAAATAAATGCTAACTACACTGAAAGTTTCAGCGCGCTAATACGGATCGTTCCCGAGTTGTAGAGTTTTCTATTTTGCCATGAAAATCGTGCGTTTTCTAATCTGTATGTGTTTTGTTTGAATAACAAAATAATATATGTCATTCACGTATATAACGCTAATACGTGAATGACACGTATTAGCGAACTGAAACTTGTATAGTACTACTTGATTTCAAGGTGGCGCTCTTTTATTTGACGGAGTTATGCATTTTTCAATTTTTCGAGTTTTTCGTTGGGAAAAGCAGGAAAACCGCTCTAACTTTTGAAGGAAGAGCCATGGGCACAAACCCTTTCAGACTTTTTACTCTCTCAATATATGCTTATCTTTTCGAAATTCACACCTAAAAATTCAACATTTTGTCCGTCACATAATATTTTCCACTGTTAAGAGACGAGTGTGTTTTATTCTCGAAGATTATTTTAAAATAGAGAAAAAAGATTTGTTTTGAAATAAAATCGCTATATGTATATAGCAGAAAACGTATTGAGATTTGAATGTTTTAAATTTGCTCATATTTGCATCGGATCATAAATTTAAGCTAAGTGGAAAAAATAATGAAATTTGAAATATGTCCTGAAAAAGGCCGTTAAAACGGTAGAAATACGGTATGTTTATGGTCATTTACAGTGCATATATGGCCATATATGATGATCTTATTTAAGCCGTAAACACGCAGTATACGGTACGGTGTAAATACGGTCGTAAAACACCGGCCTGGTTTACGGTAAAATAGGGTGCGTAAACGGCCCGTATTTAATCGTTTATGGCTGTAAAGACGCCGTATTTGAATCGTATACGGTAGTATACGAGAGGTATACGATAACCGTAACAAACCACCTGGGTAGCGAGTGCCGACCGTAGGGAGGCGTGAGCTTTGTTTTAAATTCCGAAATATTTTTAGATCTCTAGAGATTGTTTCTTTATATATTTATATTAGATTACCAATCTTACACATAAAAACAAAAAAAAAAATCCAGATATTTTAGTTAGGCCCCCAGCGAGTACCGACCGAAGGAAGGCGTGAGCATTGTCTTCGATTTAAAAGTCACCAAAGGGCGTACGCTTGCGCAGATCCAAGGTAATCAAATCAAGGGACCGAGCGAGTGGAGACGAGCGTTACCCTGTTCCCGAAACCCTAGACTGAAGTCAAGGCTTGACTTTAGTCTAGGGTCTTACAAAATGGTTGTCTGTGTGTCTATGCGAAAATACTGGAAAATGGCTGTCAGATATTCTGAAATGCAGGCGTGAGCATTGTTGGCGACCGAAAGGAGGCGTGAGCATTGTTTTGAATTCAAAAATATTTTTAGATCTCTAGAGATTTTTTCTTTATATATTTATATTAGATTATCAGTCTAAGACACATGAAAACAGAAAAAAATCCGAATGTTTTAGTTAGGCCACCAGCGAGTACCGACCGAAGGCAGGCGGGAGCATTGTCTTCGATTTAAAAGTCATCAAAGGGCGTTTGCTTACGCAGATCCAAGTCAATCAAGTCAAGGGCCCGAGCGAGTGGAGACGAGCATTACCTTGTATTGAAAGCAAGCCCGAGGTGCCAGAATGCTCTAATCGGGTAGAGGATGCGTATTTAATGAGATCAGCAAGTGTATATATTCAGCTACTAGCGATAGAACTTATTTTTCACTTTATCTTTCAAGTAGCAAGAAGTGAATAAATATTTATCTTTCACACACCTGGAATCTTGGATTTTTTGAGGGTTCCTATTTAGTTTTTTTGAGATAGAAGGGCTATTTTCTATCCTTTAACAGTTGCTACGTTGTCTAATTTGATACATTCCGATAAACTAGCGATATATAATGCGTCGGCGACCTGATGATATATATATTATCTGCGCTCGTCGACCATGTTCAGAATCACGCGACATCTATTGAACTGTGAAGACATTGCATGAAATCTTATTCAACGAACTGTGAGAAAGGAAAGAAAATGGTCAAGATAAGCTAGTGAGGAAGTATACTGAAAAAGTTCATCATTACATTAACCTACAGCGTATTAGATTGAATTCGCCAATCAAAAATGATTATATATTTTTCGTTTTTGCGTTCATACTTTTCTGATACAGGAATCAGGACAGACGACATCCAAGATGGACATATATATTCTTTTTCGCCGAAAATGGTGAGAGATCAAAGAATACTGCAATGGTTATTTTTCCTCAGTAGGTCAAATCCTCACTAGCTTATCTTGACCAGAAAAAATAGTATCGACGGCGGCCATTTTTGGCAGGTAACTTCTTACAGCGATGTTGACCTGGCATCAGGTTGAAAAAGGCGTCAGGTTAGAATGGACAAAATGTCAGGCTTAAAAAAGCGTTAGATTTAGACGTTTAAAATAGAAGGTTAGCACGGTCTGTAATGTGCGAGTTTTTTACAGTGTAGTGATTAGTTAAGCTATTATACTCTTTATTAAATGCCAAAGATTATGTCCTACATGATCTGTCATGTTCGAGAAAGCTAATGTTTGAGCGAACGGTATTTTTGCTTTCACACAATGGCATTAGACGTAGTGTTCTTCCATTGGACATTTGCTGTTTTCATAACGAAATTGAGAGTAACGGCCATGCTGTAGACATCTGATCCTATTTATGGATTTCTTCTAAGACTAGACTAGACTAAGACTGTTTATTCACGAAAAGTGAGAGTCATCAAAGGTCACCGACCTCTAATAGCAATGCCTCAAGCCAAACAACACCAAAAGAGTAATAAAAGAAATAACAAAATAAAGAAGACAACTAAGATTAGAACCGGAAGTAGTAAAAGAAAACAAGAAAATAAGCAAAATAGAGCAAATAAAAATACTTAACTGGCAAACGTTTCACTGGAAGAGATACTGCAGTAAAGCTGTTTTGAAAGACATTAAAGAAGAAAGACAAATAACTGACTCTGGGAGATTATTCCAATCAGATTATTATGATTATTAGATCAGATTATTAGATTATATGGGAGATTATTCTCCCATTGGACATTTGCTCTTCTCATAACGAGATTAAGAGTAACGACCATGCTCTAGACATCTGATCCTATTTATGGATTTCTTCTATGGATGGCATCCGGACACTTCGTGGGACGAAGCGTCCGGGTATGACGTTCAGATACGTCCAGTGTCCGAACGCCGTCATCTAGTCCAAAAGTGAGACGCCACTGCTTTCAGTAGTCCATTTTTATGTACCTCCTGTCGTATCGCTGGACACTCGCATCGAGACGGTGATCTTGAAAGGGTCCTTTTGTGATGAGATGCTTTACAGAAAAGACAGCTTTCGGCACAAGATGGACATCCAGACTATCATCTTTATGTGACCTTTTTTGCTGCGTGCGCGCGTCGTCATCCCGTCCAAAAGTGAGACTTTTGGTAGTCCGTTTGAGACATTGGACGGGTGTCCGAAGGCTCAGACGCACTGCAGTTTTTATCGATTTTTTGTTAACCTGAGCTTTTTTCCGTTGACAGCTCAGGCAAAATAAAGACGTTTTAACGAAGTTTTTGGTAGATTCATCTTATAATCAGGTCTGTAGCTATTTTTTTACTGATTATGTGGTCTCAATCGTTTTATGAAGTCTTTTTACGGTCAAAGAACAGGTAAAGTTACAGAAACAGCAAATTATTATATATTGTTTAATTCTTTCTTGTACCTGAAGTTTTACCAGTTCATATTTATGTATTCAATTAA